TTGGGATGAACGAAGTTGAAGCTAGCGAGGCCGCCTCCTTTTTTTCCTCCAAGGTTTGCGCCCGCCCGCCGCACAGGAAGCTTAGCTAAGTACATCCATTATTCCTCGGCAAACATAACAATTCATGGATTTGATACCTCCCTGGGTGGCTCTCACCAAAGTTGAATCCCACCTTCTTACTACTTCCATCCGTGCGGTGCTGGGGGGGGGGGAAGGAAAATGAGAAAACCACAGCGAAAACGCCGCACACCACGCCACGCCCAGACCAGCCCATACCAGGGCAAAGAACCATACCATCCATTTCCATACCATAGCAAACAAGGGGGGAACGAGAAGGAGAAGGGGTAAAAAGAGGAAAGAAAAACAAACAAAGAAACAAACAAAAAAGGGGGGGGGGAGGAGGGAAATGGGGGGCAAGAGATTATCGATGGAGGGATTAGAAGCTAACGGAATTGGATGGGATGGGTGGGAAACGAGGAACAGCAGTAGAAGTGGTGCAAGGGAAAATAGGGGGGAAGAAGAGATCGCAACGCCAGTATAATGGGGTGTAAACGAAAGAGACGCAGGGGGTGAGAGGCAAGGAGGTGTGTTGGCCAGGAAAGGGGAGGGGAGCGGGACGGGAAAAGCGATTCCATTTTTTTTTCGCCACCTCTTTTCTCGTCTTTCTTTCACGTCCATCTATAATTATTATTTTTTCTTTTTTTTTCTTCTTTTTTTTTTTTTGTTGGGGTCCCCCTTCTCTCCTCCCAAACACTCCTACCAACCAACCAACCAAAAAAGCAAAAAAATCAAGTATATATCAACCCCCCCCCCCCTTCTCATGTAAAAAACAAAAATACTCCCCCAAACACCCTCACGAAGCAGGAATATCCCCCACCTTGCCCTGCTCCGCTGCGTCCGACAACCCCTCAAACCGAATCCGCTTGGATGGCAACTCCGCGCCCCCAGTCACCCCCACCCCCATCGCAACCCCCACACTCCCATTGTTACCCGCAGCACCAGCACCAGCCGCTGCATTCCCCGCACTCAAGAACGCCGCCTCATCGTGCTGGTGCTTCCGCATCCCCAACCCAGCCACCGCAATGCGATTCAGCGCGTTAACCTGCTCAGGTTGATCTGCAGGAGTCGCAGTCGGGATCCCAGTGGGAGCAGCGCCAGTGGCAGCAGCAGCAGCAGCCGCAGCGGCGGCGGCGGCGGCGGCAGCGGCAGCGGCAGCAGAGCTAGCGGCACCCGGGACGACGGGGGCGGGGGGGTCGTTGCGGGGTTGGGAGAGGTCGATGTTGCCGGGGAGCTCTGGGACTTCGTTTTGGGAGTCGATGAGGCGGGATTGGAGGGAGATGATGTATTCGCGCAGCTGGTAGTTTTCGGCCTGGATGGCTTTGTAGTTTTCGACGAGGAGTTCGTAGTCTTTTACTTGTTCTTCTAGTTTGCGGATG